ATTCTTTGATAGGCAGAGTATTCATAATAAATCTATGTTTCAAATGGACAGCAACTGCCTGTTGTAGAAGCCTACAGGTGCCTGAAGACGAAAAGCGGAGGACTTTCGAAACGTTGTCCTCTACATTTGTAGGCTTCTACAACAGGCAGTTGCTGTCCATTTGAAACTTAGATTCATTACTTGATACTTTTTTACAGGAATTAAAACATTGGGGAAGGGGATATAAATGTCTGTCGTCTTTCACGCAGAGAAAATTGCTGATTGACCCCCAGATCAACTTAGAGGAGATAAGAATGTAGTGTAGCATTGCCCCATTCTAACTCAAAATAACATATAAAACTAAGAAAATAGTAAAAAAATTTGGGCTAATCTTATAACAGTCACAAATTTGTGACTGAATTTAAATGTTAATTAAATCGTAGTTAGATTCAGTGCTTGTTTCCCACAAAAACAGGTTTCTGCTGATATTTTTTGTTGGTTACAGTAGTGAGAACTATTAAAGCTCTCACATTAGATTTTGACCCCTTAGTGATTCGATACCCGCGATGGGCACAGCACAGATAGCCCATTGTGTAGCTTTGCGCTTAACAAGAAACAAATAAATTAATTAGATTTTGTGTGACTTTGAGTTTTCGTTTTGCTGTCTCTTCACGTGACTATAAGAGTGTTTTTTTTTTTTACTCTCCGTAAGTAATCAGCAGAGACCTTTCGATTTTTACTGAGTTTCGTTACTTTTAATTTCATTTTAACGATAGTCCGTAAGACTCTCGCAGGTGCTTCACTGTTTCGTATACGTTCATCGTAATTGAACGAATAGGGTTTGCTTCATGTGAAGAGCGAAGTTAGTAGGGCGTTGACTCCCTGTATTTAGGATTGTTTATTGAGTAAAGATTTCACTAGGTTTGTTTAACTTAGCTTGGGGTTGTTTACATTTCATGTTTCATCTTTAGTTTAACTTACGGGAGAAGAGGGAGGCACGGACTAACAAGAGAGTTTTTCTATTTAAGTCTTCATAGTGGATCTTATTAGTCCTATACTTATTATTTTAAAACACACACACACAATCATTTGCTCTATTGTTCATTGCATTGTCGTGTATTATTTCATAGTTTAATGTGATTGTTATTAAATATTTGTTATTTGTGGATCTGCCTCATTCCTTTCACGATCCGATAGCTGCAACTCCAAGGGAAGTACACCTCAGGGAAATCTGTGATCCGAGTCCCTCCTGTTATTAGCAGGCTTAACTTTCTACTCTGCTGGTTAATCTAGGATATATTAAAACTGTGTGCACTCATCTTATTGAACGAAGTGTTGTATGTAAAACAAACCAGGTGTTTTTTTGTTTTTTTTAGTTTTTTCCCTATTAGTTTAGACATGTTAACATTAAATGTTAACCTAAATGTTCCGAACGAGCGTGTGGAAGCGGGTATAAGTTCTACAATAGAGAGACCAGTTCTCGAATGCGGTTAACTTAGTAGTGCCCTAGTTACACGTTATACTTATCTTTATTATTTCTGATTTTCCTACGATAGATGATGTAGCTTAGTATACTATATAATCTTTATAGTGAGGTCAACAGGTAGAAATTTAGGAATACTTGGAGGCTGGGTACTCCTTATGTTTACTTACGGAATGACCATAAGACAGAACTTTAGACAGAGCCTGGCATGACCTGGTGGTTAGGGCGATCGACTCGCAATTTGTATGTTAAGGGTTCGAATCTCGTCAACGAACATGCTCGCCCTTTTCAATCCCACTTTTTGTTGGTAAAAGAGTAGCCCAAAAGTTGGCAGTGAGTGTGTTAACTAACTGCCTTCTCTCTAGTCTATCGTTTCTAAATTAGAAACGGCTAGCGGAGAAGGTCTTCGAGTAGCTTTGAGTGACATTTATCAAAAGAACAAACGAACTCTATACAGTTAGAGAGTTTGTTTGTTTGGAATTAAGCACAAAGCTACACAATGGGCTATCTGTGATCTGCCCACCACCAGTTAGAGAGTAATGTTGTCAATTGTCCTTCACATTCCATGGATTTGTTGTTTGGAATAAGGAATTTTTCAGTCCTTTATTCAACTCGTCCAAAGTCAAAAATGCAGCATTAATTTTGCATTACATTCTGTATAGTTAGTCCTACTATTGAGGTACTATTCTTACCTGTAGGGTAATCAGTGCAACTGAAAATATCACAGATGTCTTATTTTTATTCATATTTAATTCAACTCATTTGTGATTTTTTGCATTTCGACTTAGAATAAAGCAGCTTCAGATTTAAAAAAGTTTTCCCAGATAATGAAATTATTACAACTTCTACGAGTTCACATAATTACGCACATATTGTCAAATACGTGGTTTTTGTATCCATTTCTGTTTGCTTCTCTTTTATGGCAAAACATAAAACCTGAAGATAATGACGTAAGAGGTTCCAGTGTTCATATATTGGTTGCCATAACATTTTCGCCAGTATTAACTAAAAACATGCAGACTCCATATGCACCATGTCACTGATCCTGTTCACATTTAGGTCGTTAGCCCTTGGTTGTTTATTAACCATGTTACTGATAATATACCATATTATGATAATAAAATAGAAAGCATAATTTGAAAACATTTGATCTGTGATCATCTACTGTTTCGGAACAGAAAGGTTATCATTATTTTTTATTATTTCCGATTTCTTTTGATCGATGGTTATCTATTCATACTCATATTATACATGTCCTCAAACGATGTAGTAATTTGGGATTATGGACGAAAATGTCGTTAACAGCAAGGGCACTTAACAGATGAAAAAATGCATCATAATCTTTATAAGTAGAAACGTAAGAAAAGTGTATTTAATTAATTGTAATGATGCCAGGTTGAATTTTGATTTGCTCTGAGTTCATAGCTTACTCTGATCGGAAGTTATTATTATCTTCTAAATTCGTGTTATTTTTACTATATAAACAGTGGTGCAGTCCTGCGGGGTCGCGAGAAAGCGATAACCCCTCCTTTTATGTGCAGAAGGAGCTCTGCTCCCATTCTACAAATTTATATTATTTCCCGCATTGCTTTATTATACAGTAGAATTGTAATAATGTCTCTAATGTGGAACGCTTTACTTAAAATTACGTTTTTATCATTAACTACAAAATCTCTGACTCTGATCTTGTATATACCGCTGCTTTACAATAATATACTTCAAGCAATGATTCTCTGAATTTCTAATTAACCGGTACGGTAGCCATATTAAATACCAGTTTCATTCATTAGCTGCTTTGTCGGGAGGAAGGTTAAAGGAGATCATGGCGACCCCTCACTATGTCACTGAGTACTAATACGTAACAACTGAAAAGAAGGAGGATTCTGAGCCTTTATGTATACACGGGATAATCTTGTTATTTGTTGTCGTTGTTGAGCACAAAGCTACACAATAGGCTATCTGTACGTTGTCCATCAAAGGGAACTGAGGCTCTGATTTTAGAGTTATATGCCCTTGCGTACAAATAAGAAAATAATTTTGTTTGTTGTTGTTGAGCCAAAAGCTACACAATAGGCTATCTGTACGGTGTCCATCAAAGGGAACTGAGGCTCTGATTTTAGAGTTATATGCCCTTGCGTACAAATAAGAAAATAATTTTGTTTGTTGTTGTTGAGCCAAAAGCTACACAATAGGCTATCTGTACGGTGTCCATCAAAGGGAACTGAGTCCCAAATTCAAGAGTTATAAGCGCTAAAGCTTACCGCTGAGTAACGGGGGGACTGAGGTAATCTAGCATTATCAGTCTATGATCTGTACTCCCTTCAGGTGGTCGGAGGAAAGATTGCATAACCACGGAAAGAAAGCGAGAGCATAGCGTACGGTGGTCTGCCCAGATAAAGATAATAATAATTAGGTGGTACGCCAACAAAAACAAAAAAAAGCTGATATATATATGAGCAATTCTTAAAGAATTTACAAGGGATTTGTAAAGATTGTGATTATTAAGATAAATTACATATGCACTACAATATATTTTAATACTACTACTTAATACTAAAATATTATATGAAATTATATTAATCTTAGCCATGAATATAAATTTCGGTTGATCATAAGCTTGAACACAGTTTTCACTATTAATAATATAGCCACAGGTGTTCATTTTAAAACAGTTTAAAAATCTAAACGACGTTACCTGTTATTAAATCATACTTAAAAGATAGATATAAAAGAATGATATGTTTTCATTTTGTAATTCTAGGTTTTAAACAGTACTTATAACCTCAAATATTTTAAACAATACTTATAACCTCAAATATTTTAAACAATACTTATAACCTCAAATACTTTAAACAGTACTTATAGACTCAAATATTTTAAACAATACTTATAACCTCAAATATTTTAAACAATACTTATAACATCAAATACATAACCTCAAATTTTAAACAATACTTATAACCTCAAATACTTTAAACAATACTTACTAATGAGATTGTCATGGTCAAGATTAACAATATAATACTACGCATACATTCTATTTTCAACACCGATTATTTATTTTTAGTAATTTATTTCAATGAACTTTAATATTATTTAGAAGAACTGACGAAATTTGGAGGCCCCCCCCCCCAGTGGCACAGAGGTATGGCTGTAGACTTACAACGCTAGAAACCGGGTTTCGATATCCGTGGTGGGTAGAGCACAGATACCCCTTTGTACAGCTTTGTGCTTAACTTCAAACAAACAAAATGCCAGTTCAAAATAAATAACAGTTTGAAGCATTACCAGAGCTCAAAACGGTGTTTCAATGGGAGAAAATAGTTTTCTCTGTTGGTGTTCAAAATGGTCCAAATTGCACTAGAGGAACAATATGTCACCAGAAACTGATAATTTTGTATTAAAAATCTCGTCTTTAATATTGTACAGACACACTAATCATTATATTCAGGATATTATTAGTGTTTTCTTTTTTTTGTGTTTAGTTCATTTTTCATGACATGTTAATTAAATTGAGAGAACGGACTTTGTTATTTACCTCATAGTAAGATGAACGAAAAGCCATAACAGCAACTTCGGGATTTAATGTTTCTCGGCTAAGATGACAGTAAAGTTTTCTATCAACAGCAGTGAAGGAGTTTCTGATCTCAATAGCAAACGATCTGCAACCCAATGGCATGCCATCTGTACAGTCCATAGCACACTGGACCGGGGAAGTCACTTCCTTGCTCAGAAACACGCGCTCTTTAGGCTGCATCAGTCCAGATGGGATGTGGGTGGGACGGGTGAAACGAATCCCTTCATTTTTTAGAACAGTTTTAATGCAGGTTTTGGTGTCGTCGAATGATGAAGCTGTCGTAGCTAGGAGACAGACTATCAACATTCTTATAAATAAACTATCCACGATGTTCTCCAGAGCTCTCATTTTTTGGACTTTGTTGTACTCTGGTTTAGTTCAGTTGTTACTGTAAAATGTCTTCTTGAGTTGAATTAATTAGAGTTGATGTAAAATACGTATATATATATTTCTTTACTGGCTGGCCATATTAACTTTACCCTTCACGTTACGTTGGAATGAATCGTTAACTGTTGCTGTAGCCTTATAGAAATACCTTGTTAACTTCTAATCGATTAGATCCATTACATTTAACGACTAACCAATCAAATTAATCTCAAGTATCGTCGTCATAATGGAAAGGGTGTGGTGCATTAAGAAGTTCACTACATCTATAAGATCAACAAACAGTCTGTTACGCTACTTTTACATATAAAATCCTTCTTCCCGTTCTTGGTGGTCTGTGGTAGAAATAGTCTCAGGATATACAGGGCGAGGCAAATATTACTATACGACTGGTTCGTTCAGAACATAGTTTAATTTTTAACGTTTTACTCTGAATCATACAGTAATTAAACTGGTTTCAAATGTCTTCTTAATAATTTTATAGTGCCAACTATATAGTAAATTTTATTCTGTCCAACTGTAGAGTAACTTTTACTCTGTCCAACTGTATAGTAACTTCTACTCTGTCCAACTTTAGAGTGACTTTTACTCTGTCCAACTCTAGAGTGACTTTCACTCTGTCCAACTCTAGAGTGACTTTTACTCTGTCCAACTGTATAGTAACTTTTACTCTGTCCAACTGTATAGTAACTTTTACTCTGTCCAACTGTATAGTAACTTTTACTCTGTCCAACTGTAGAGTAACTTTTGCTTCACTCTGTATGAGCGATGTCCAAAGGCACAGAAGAGTAACAAGAAAAATTTTGCATGTATTTCAGATAAATGCTAATAACGGTTTAAAGGCTACTTAAAAACACAAGCAACATAATTGAGACCTATATACTTTAATAAACGGTCTTTCAACGTCTTAATTATATAACAATGTGTATGTTATTTAACGTTATTTTTTACGTAAATAATCACACATTAAAACAGATTAGAAAACCTAATTTTATTTGTTAATAACAAGCAGCTTCAGTATTTTAGAGTATTTGTCACTGGTTTTGTTTTGATAAACATAGAGAACATTAGTCTGAAACTATGGAGAATGTGAGAAGAAAACAGAAGTTCGGAAAGGAAGTAGTGACATAGATAAAACAGATAAAAACATTTTTCTCCTATTACAAATACGTCTGTTTGTAACATTCAGCTTTTTTATGTACCCGGATGTACGAAGATGATAGTACACTACACAAAACATTTAAATGATAGTAAACATTTTTAATATTATAGTCATGACAGGACAAAATCACTATTAGAGAACCATGCCAATTACCCTCTCAGTTCATTATTATGTAAACCGCGCATCTAGTGATCACTCGTGATTTGAAGTGTCATTTAGTCTATCGTATACATAACGGTCGTTTACAAGCTTGTGTTAATTATTTATTGGAAATGAATCACACTGTTTTAAAGTATTCGGAGTTGTTCATGAATCGTGACTAAACTTCAATAAAGATGTTTGGATGTTTCAATTATGTTGGGGTCCATCAGACGAACATAAGCTGACCAATCATAATACAGTGTAGAGAACTGACCACAAGTGTTTCAAAGTTTCATTAGCATCCAAACCCTAGATATGGTTGCTCAGATACCCGAACAAGGCATAAAAACATCTTCGACACAAGAAGATGGGTGCTAATCGATTCTAACTTTCTGCAATGGTAGGGTACCTGCTCTGAGACTGAATAAAACATTCGCAGCTACCAGAAACAGGCTTCACTGGACTCTATGCCATACACCCTGAGATGCAGTTTATTTACAGCAAACCACAAAGCAGTTCGCCTGTAATAAAGAACACTTCAGTAAGCCACTGACATTTGAAGTAATATTCTTTTTATAGATGAATGGTGCTTCATTTCGTAAGGAAAAAACAACAACAAAAAACAAGCACCTACTCATTTGGAGAAAATCTTAAACATAATTTAACCTCAATTTCTTACAGCCTAATGGCTGATAATGCCCAAATGTTAAACTGGTGAATATATTTCTCAGACAATAGAGGATTGACAGAATAAAGTGGCTTGCACGCTCACCAAGTTTTAATCTAATCAAATACAGATGGGGTATTCTTTAGAGACGTGTTGCGTCCTGAAAAGTGACCGAAGACATTAACTATGATTATATTAAGCATGCAGCATCGGATAAGGATGTTGGAGTTATTTCTGGTGATCACAATTAGTATTAAACTGAAATGTCATGAACTGTAAAGATGTAAGGCCACCTACATCAAATATTCATTTACAATTATAAGCTAACTGATTAATCAATAGGATTTCAGGTTACGTGACAGGTTATAAAATATTATATTTATCTAAAGATCAACAAAAGGGTGCAACTGATTGATATTATTTTATAACAATCAGATCACATGACATGTTATAACCTAACAGTTTTATATACACATGAACCGAGGGGTGCGATTTATATTATTTTATAATAATTAGATTACATGACAGGTCAGATTTAACTAAAAACGAACCGAGGGGTGCGATTAATATTATTTTATAGCAGGGTTTTGCCTTTCCTAGATATAATATCGTAAATTCATTACTTTGTGTAGTGAAATACAAAAGCAAATACGTCCTCAAATTTCCTGCTTGTTTCTATCAACGGATTTTGGAAGAAACATCTTTTTTATGAGAAGGAAAACAAACTGAAAAAAACGACATTCGTTTCTCTTCATTAGCAAAAAAAATGTGTGTTTTAATTTATGTATTTTTATGTTTAAATTATAGTTTAAGTAATCTTAATAGTTAAATAAATCAAATACATATAAGTAAGAGCACAGCTAATGATAGGATACTTATAGTATGATGTGTACACTACGTTAATATACAAAGTGTTTCGAACGTTTGCTGTTACGTATTTTCAGTTTACAATTATTGCACGTGTACTAGAAAGTGACGTATTTTGGTAATAGGATTTATTATACAGAACTTCACGCACAATATCCAGTTAGAATCTATATTTTGAATCGATTTCTTGTTTTATACCGAGAACGTGAATATTCTTGCCATGAAAATTGATTGTTAATCATAACAATGTGGCCATCTTTTGTAGAGTTCAAGCTACTGGATTGAAAGAGAGGTGAAGGTTATTCATTAATACACGTAATAATATTTTAATAAAGCTTCTCATATGTTAATAGTTTGTCGAAATGTAAATTTTATGTGTAACACAACGTTTAAAGCTTTCCAGTATGGTTAGGCAATGAAAATAAAGTTTAACAATATTGTTACGTCTCTAATCCGTTTGTTAATTTTTTAATTCCCTCTGAAGAGAACTTCAGCGATACAAGTCCTTTCTTAAATAAAACTAGTTTATTCGTCCGTTCGTGAAGCCTCGAGTGTTCTCCAGATGTACGCTTTTTGTATATATAAGACCGGTAAAAAGTGAAGGCAACAATCGAATAGCAGACTGGCAGAGATAGAGACGGACAATTGAGTCAAGCGCGGTAGTGACCGTAAGTAAGTGCGTGAATCATTGTGAATTATAGCGTGGGTTTAAAGTGACTGTGGAAATTAAGTGTATTGCAAAGTTGAATTGAGAAAATGAATTTTCTAGAAGCTCATGACGTGTTACTAGCGTCACATGACTTCCGCTGTCGTAACACTATAACTTTAATATCATGGTTGAATTTTGTTCGGTGTAAATCTTGTGTAGAAACAACAAAAAAATAAAGAAATAAAACAAATTAGATTGAACCATTTAAAGAAATTATATGATTCAAAAAGAACAGAGAACATTGTTAATTCGTTGACGAATGATGATTCAAATAGTTGTACATAACTTATCAAAGTATAAACTCACCGAAACGTGAAAAAAAGAGAGAATTTATAGGTTTAATTATTACCAGAAATAAAGAATAATACTAACCTAATTATAATAAGTATGGTCTTTGAACGATGATCTTTAGAATTAAAACTAACCATGCTGGTGAATATCTTACATGGTTTTTATGTGAATCTCATAGGAATGGTCTTTATAAACTGATTTCATGTAAAGGATAGATAAATATTTTCTTGTAGACCATACCTTTAGTATGTTACCATATTGTCACTTTACCATACCTTTAATATATTACATATTGTCACTTTACCATACCTTTAGTATATTACATATTGTCACTTTACCATACCTTTAGTATATTACATATTGTCACTTTACCATACCTTTAGTATATTACATATTGTCACTTTACCATACCTTTAGTATATTACCATATTGTCACTTTACCATACCTTTAGTATATTACATATTGTCACTTTACCATACCTTTAGTATATTACCATATTGTCACTTTACCATACCTTTAGTATATTACTTATTGTCACTTTACCATACCTTTAGTATATTACCATATTGTCACTTTACCATACCTTTAGTATATTACCATATTGTCACTTTACCATACCTTTAGTATATTACATATTGTCACTTTACCATACCTTTAGTATATTACCATATTGTCACTTTACCATACCTTTAGTATATTACATATTGTCACTTTACCATACCTTTAGTATATTACCATATTGTCACTTTACCATACCTTTAGTATATTACCATATTGTCACTTTACCATACCTTTAGTATATTACATATTGTCACTTTACCATACCTTTAGTATATTACCATATTGTCACTTTAATAGTCATGGTACTCATTGTTCCAATGACAGAGTGATATAACATTGTAGACCATACCTTTAGGATTCCATAGGACACTCACCAGAATGATTTGTATAGAGATGATCATCATATGTTTGTACATTTGAAAACATTTACGAACGTTTAAGTATGTGTGATACTATACAAGTCTTTACTTACATATATTCAATATAGCATATTAGGGTGAAACACGTCACTTTTAAGCTGTAGGGGACTGGTACTGTGAGGGTCAAGATCTAATGTTCAGCACGA